GAGGTGTTGTTATATTTCCCTTTTTAGCACCTGGCTCCACATACAGGAAGATGTTTTATTTAAATCAGGGGTTCCCAACCTTTTTATGCTGTGGACCAGCAGACTGGAAGTGACCGCAGACTGGCAAACTGCAGACCAGCAGTGACTGGTATAGCAGGCAGCTATGGCAGTCACTCTAGTATAAAAAAGGGTTGGCTACCTCCTGCAGACCGACAACCAACCCTTCACAGCCCAGTACTGAGCTGTGGCCCAGGGGTTGGGAACCCCTGATTTAAATTATGGAAATCCTTTTTCTTTCTTCTCATTTTAATACATTTCCCTTTTACACGTGCATTCAGTGTTCGAGTCTGGAATTCTTTAAAAACATTGACCTTGTTGTGTGTTTTTTGATCTAACCAACACTCATGCTATAGCTGATATCAGGAGTGGCCAACCTGTGGTGCACCTGCCAAAAGTGGCATGAGCAGGTTCTGTGTGTAGCACTTGGCAGATCAAGCAGGGACTGACAGCATAGTACCAGACAGAACAGAAAACAAAGCAATAAATTGGGCGGGGAGCACAAGGAAGGAAGCAGAAAGAGCAGCAGATCAGGCAGGTAGCACAGGGATAGGAGCAGAAAGCAGAGCACCAGGGCAGGGAAAGGGAATTGAAGTGATGCTTGGGGAGGGTGCAGAACTAATTTGTGACATCTGCCATAAAGGTTGGCCCCCACTGGTTTATATCAGTGGTGCCTGACCATATTCGGCCTGTGGCCAGATGAGCAGCCCAAGGTTTATTAGGGAGCCAGATCCTGCCTGTGGGCCTGATACAGTGTCAGTGCTAGCCCAACTGAGACCCAGCGCAGCTGTGTGGGAAGGACCAGCCTAGCTTGGCCCCAGCCCAGTCCAGCTGTGCAGGATTGAGGCCCAGTCCCTCTGTGCAGGGCTGACCCAGGTGAAGCCAATCCAGCCCCACAGTTCCGTAAACTTAAAATCAGGGGGAGCAGTGGCAGTGTTGATGTGAATTGCCACCACTCCCCCACTGCCAAATTTCTGGACCCATGGGGAGACTTGTGGGGGGCTGAGACCCACAATCTGTGGACTGGATGGGAGTAGGACCCAAAAGTCAGCTAAATTACTCTTTAAAAAACATAGATATGTGTGTGCATTTTTGAACTGCCTGATTTGCAGCTGATTTTTGGTCTCAGCACTAGGAACACATGGGAGCTGGTTCAAGACTCCATTGCAGTAGTGTGATCTATATTTAGATCGTTGTAACCAGTAACATGCAGCTGCTTAGGAAACTCTCTAAGTCATATTAATGCTTCTGGCTCTAAAAGCAAAGTGTGGCATGCAACAAGACCATGTGTTAATGATAAAAGCATAACTGTGCAGTAGCACAGTTATCCCTTGTGGTGAAAGCAAAATGTTTTTGCATTAATTAATTTCAGATTTATCTGTTGTCACAGGTATGATGTTGAGTAATCAATTGTATAATAATCTTAAAATATATGTGCACATTGTTCCTATGGGTCTTCAGAGTAACTTAGTACAGTCGTTTTATAGCTATTTAAACAAAATTCAGAGAAGAAGGTGCGACGTCTGAGGAGTTTACTAGTGGCCTACTCCAAGCAAAAGTGACATCAAAGATTTTTGTAGTCTGCTTGAAAGCATGTAACTGAAAGTGCAACTGAAATGTTTCACTTTCTAATGCCAGTAACCTAATTCAGTTTTTGAAGAAAATTATTTGTAATATTTGTAGAATCTAGTTGTGGTTCTATACATGCAGAGCTAAAATTGCATGTGATGCACCTTGCTAAAATAATTTTAATGGAGGCACACGAAGGATAGAGTCACTTTGTGTATCTGTAGTTAGTGATTATTAACTGAGCATCTGCAACTGTAAGCTATCAGGTGAAGTAATAAAAAAAATACATTCTTACCATATTATTTCACAGCCTAAG